ATCTCAGTTTCAACGGACCCAAGAAGTCAAGGCACTACTTTGGCATTGTCGATCTTCCACTATTTCAGCCCCTTGGAATCAGACTCATCTGGTTGTTTTGTGGAACCATCCACAAATCCCCATAAGCCATTTCCTTCAACATAGAATTGGAAATGGAATTTCCAAAAGGCGTAGTTTGTTCCATTGAACTTTATTGGTAGAATATCCCTTTTCTCCATGATCACTTCAGCAATGAGTAAGCAAAGAAAACTAAGAAAATAAATCAGCCGAAGGTCCAAATAAATCCAAAACTCGATGGAATATGCGTGCCCAACCACACGTCACAAAGATGAATCAAAATCCAATAAAGAAACCAGTCACACAGAGTTTTCAAACTGATAACAGTCCAAAAAAGGTAAGTTTTCTGGACTGTCGAACAAGAAGAAGGGCAAAACACCCTTCAAAAGGAATCCGAACCAGAATTAAATTATAGATCTATATAGATCTGACCTGGGTGACTTCAGATCCGAGTTTCATAGTGTTTGGAGTTGCTGATTGAGTGAAAATGAAGAAACCCTATTTCTAATGGCGATCTTCCAGAGAAAAAACAGCAGAGATGTGCAGATCAGTACAGCAACCTACGAGATCCAAAACTGAAGTAGATGGGTCGATCTCACAGACCTAAACAGATTTCAATCAAGGACAGGTTGAAAAAGCTGCTCTGATACTATGTCAACTTAGATCAAATCAGAGAAGGAAAAGCTGAGAATGAAAGGGTGTGTTCTCTCTTGAATCTCACACCCAGAAATGTTTAACTTATATATGAAAGAATACAATGTTATGGAAAGGACAGTTATGCCCTTGTCTTACAAGAAAGAATAAAACAAAAGATAGTGTACATAAGTTACAACATAAAAGAGTGGCCCCAAGAGCCAAAAAAAGGGAAGATGTAAGAAACATAAATCAGTCTCTACATGTTGAAGAACCAATGATAAAAGAACACATAGAGATGGTGATTCCTAAGCTAGAGGTTGAAGGAAAAGTTCCAAATGTTGCAGTTGAGAGTTTGGATAAGCGAGGGGAGGATTCATCACAATCGCTGGTTGATGAATTAAGTGTTCAAGAAACTAATGCTATTGATGATTTAACAAAGATGGTTATGGAAGGCAGTGTTTTAGAAATACGTTTCTTTCAAGATCCTTTTCTAGTTCTTTGTGTGGCCTCTCCTCTGCAGTCCAAGCATGTAGCTGTGGGAAGTCTTACTCCTTTTGTAATTGGGGCATATCAACTTTTCATTGTCAAGTTCTTCAAAACTCGAGGACAAGTTTTTTTGAACCGGGGGAGAATGATGTAGGAGCTGAAGAGTCAAAATTGGAATTTTATGAAATATTGTGTTTTTGTATTTTCGGACAGTATGAGTATATTTGTCATTTTGAAATTTTTGTGGGGGGTCTAATGATAGGGTTTAATTTGTCTTGCTATAGTTTGTTTATGTTTAAAATTTCAGTCATTGCATAAGTAGGATTAGAGTTATTGAGTCTTCTTTGAATTGAAATAGGATATGACAGCTTAGTTTGAGTCCTACTAGGATTATTGAGTATAACAGTTTGACTCCTAGGATTATTATGAGTTTAGAGTCTATAAGTATGTAAGGGCGTTTTACACAAAGACAATGACTTATATTGAGTTTTCTTCAGCTTATGCTAGCTATGGTGAATGATTCCCATGCCCTAGAGTGATTCTAGGCACCCTGTGAGTGATCCCAGGTATTTTCTCTCTTCTTTCTCTCCCTATTTTCTTATTCCTTCAAGAATCCATTGACAGCCATAAAACTCTAATCAAGAAGACCATTCAACATTCTCCAAGGACTAGAACTGAGCTGGTCCTACATCACCTAGTCCCAACTTGGTCGAGGTTTTGACAATTCAACCAAGTTAATAAATATGATTATAAAAATGTAGGAAGTATAGAGAAAACCCGGAAATTTATATTTCTGACCTTTGTTCAAAGGAAAGGTTAGAACCAATTGAATTCTACAGTTCCTATCTAAAAAGGTCATTACTGAATGTTGGTCCCAGATATCTGGGGTCTTGGGAGGGGTAGAGTGGGTATGGTTCCAACATTTGGCTTCCCCCCCTGCTAAACTTGCATTCTCACACATGCCAGACTGAGATTTTACCATTACACCAAGTAATGCCTATAGTTCCTATCTAATAATATAAGTGAAGAGAACAGGTAGGAGTAAAAACACTCATATTTAGTTCTATGTATTATTAAACTTGTCCAACAGCCAAGGCTAATGAAAACAGACTGATCTCAATTCTTCGTTCAAATTCAGTTTTAAATTGTGTCCAATTGTAATCTGGATATCTTTCCATAAAATGCTTATTTTGCTCTAAATGTTTGGGTTCTTATCATGTTTATTTTCTTGTTATATATGTTTGGGCGATCTGGATTTGTTGATCTGCCTATATTCTTACCTTAATGGATGAAAAGTAAGAACTAGAATTCTTATTTATAATGGAACTCATAGGGGAAAAATGGATTTATGGATGAAATAATATATGCAGTATTTACAGAGAAATGTATTTGGTTATCAGAGAGCCCAAGTATTCCTCAATGACCGATAGTGTATTACTGCCCTAAAGGAAAGGTGGAAAGACCCTATTTAGGGAGTACAATAGAGAACCTGGATCTGATTCAAGCAATTGGTTGAAAGAGTGGAGCTTAGAGCCAGAAAGCACACTCACTTTTAATGGTATACCTTTTGTATGATGGGCAGGAAAAAATAGGAACAATGGCTTAAGCTATTAGGCCTTTGTACTTTATAAAAGGAAACTAGTTCTTCCTATTTGATCTGGAACTGATCAATCTAGCCACAAGCAGGTTGAACTTTGAAAAGAACACAAGAAGAAAACCAGCCCAAGAATTTCCTACTTGTATAACAAGAAAAATAAGAAGGAAGAAAAGAGAAAGACCTGTTGAAGAGAAAGAAGAAGAAGAAGAAGAAGTTGGAAGAAAAGAGGAAGAGAAGAGAAGAGAAGAGAAAAACGTCCCTCTCTCACTCCCTTAGTCTCTTTATATATGTTTTGGATTAATGTAAAGGAAAAATTACATGGGTGCCCCTGGTTAGCAGCTGACCCAATAAACATAAGAACTAATGTGTTAAGGGCCTATAAAGACAGCCCGTTACAGAAGAAATAAAACAATAAATAGCTGAACTAAAGCAAGGCCCATTCGGGCACCAAACTAAGGCCCAGTTGGTCCAAACTCTCTACAAACACTAACAGGCCTTGAGGGACTGGACATGTGTATGTGGCAAATTACAGGGATGCCTTATGGCTAGGGGTGAAAGGCCAACCAAGAATTGATATAGCTGATTTTCTGGGAGATCTATTTCAATAATCAATTGAAAATTTCAATTGGATTTGGATTGATGATCAAATAGAGAACCAAGTTGGCTTCTGGCAGTATTGTTATCTGGTATACAGATGTATATGGATGATCCTGCCTAACTTGCTTCCAATCCAGATGGGGTGATTTCCTATTCAGATCGCCTGGTTTTTGAATGAAACAGAAAATCAACATGCTGACTGTGCCCTCACCCTGTGTAAATATTTTTTTTATGAGTCTCACCCTGTGTAAGTATTCCAGGGCCTGACTTGTTTTTATTTCATGCACCTCTGATAGTTAGAAGTTTGGGTTAATTTTGAGATCCTAAAGAGCCTAAATTTTATGAGGATGAAAGGGTGATTAAGCGTTATTGATAAAAAAAGGGCAATAAGCATTCTTGATAGGTAGAATTAATTATCGTAAATATTTGTTGAGTGAATCTTTTACTGGAATTTTGAGATTTCTTCCATGGGGGAAAACATGTTCGTCTCTCAACTTTTGAGGATTTTCTTAATTTTATCTGTGCAGAAAAAAAAATGAAAAGGGTTTTCTTTAGGCCGCATTTGGTTTCTCAGAAAATTATCGAGAAAGGGAAAATTGCGTAAAAGTCCTCAAGGCACATTAAGAGCTTCTCTACAACTTACTTTTTTTCATTTATTTCCCAAGGAACAAAATATAGCCTAGTTCTATTGTAAACTTATTTCTCTACAAAATTGGGTACTGACACAAAGGTTTCTCAAGAGTCTGAATTGGGCCACTACTTTTGATTGTACATTGCAAAAAAGATTCAAATAGGGAATGGTTGGAACAGTGATTTAAAAGGCGTGCCTAGGCGCACAGGCGAGGCACATTTCATGGCATGCGCCTCGCCTAGGTCCTAGGCACAGCCCTTTCAAAAGGCGCACGCCTGGGCTGAGGTGCAAGGCTCAGGCGCACCAGGCGTGTGCCTTTTGGAAATTCGGAATGTGAACTTGTTTGGGCTTGCCTCGAGGGGCGTGGCAGAAAGGTGGCTTGTAGAATATGTAATATGTTTTACATTACATTAGCTATGTGAAGTACTGCTGTTGAGTGAAAAAAGAGATTAGAGGTTTTACATGCTTGAAAATGTTTTATATGTTTGATTTTATTTTTAAATTCTCATTTGAATATGCTTTACGTCTTATGTTTATGTATTTTAATTTTAGATAATAGGTTTTTTAAAACATTATTTTAAAATTTAACTTTATATTTTTTTAGTAATATTATGTTTAATATTTTTTGGCATTTTTTTGAATTTTCTGACATTTTTTTTGACTTTTTTAGCATTTTTTTTTGTATTTTTGCGCCTTGCTTCAAAAAGGCATGCGCCTCGCCTTGTGCCTTGCGCCTCAGGTGCAAATTGACCCCTGCGCCTTTTTTGCGCCTTGCGCTTTTAAAACACTGGGTTGGAAGTTTGCAGGTTATTTTTTCTCCTTCCTTTTGGTGGTGTCCCATATTGAGGTTGCCTACCAACAAACCTTTACTAACTTTTGTGCATATTTTCCTTTTATATCTTCTGTTTTTATTTGTATATGGGGCACTGGCATGTGAGGATTCACTTGCAGTTCAGCATGCAAGGATTACCTGACAGCTGTTGATGATGTCCACAGTTCCGAGAAGCAGTGAAGGACAAAGACGATACTTTGCTGCTCAAGGTCATGTCGAGCTATGGTATATATAGATTACATAAAAATTTGCTTTTTAATTTTCATGATATTAAATATATGATACAACATAAATAAATATTGGTCCTTATGACAGGTGAAGAAGTGGTGGAGGCTTTAGGAAGTGAGGTTGATAGGCTAGAAAAGGAGATTCAGAATCTTGTTCCTGGGATCCGTCATGTCGATATTGAGGCTCACAATCCAAAAGGTCCATCTCCATGACCTAAAGTTTCTCTGAATATTATTGTCTGTGCAGTTCTCTTCTTTTTTTTGCTTATCTTTGAATTATTGAAGAGACACTTCAACCAAGAGGCTTCTTCTGTATTGCTTGAGGTGAGTTTGTAATGCTATATCTGGGAATGCGATGTAGATGCTTTAAGTCAATTAAAACAAGGGTTTACATTTGTTTTTTGATAAGTAAAATGAACATTTCGAAATATTGTTTGAGTTTCTGTTTTTGTTAAGCTTATTTGGAGTTTGTGGATGCCATCATCATAACCACATGTTCATTGAAAAATCCAAAGTGAGCAGTGCTAGGGAGGAAATGACAGATTGTGGGCCTGGGGTGCATTACTGTTGTCTGACATTTTGTTGCTTTGGCACTTCCCATGAAAGACACACATATATGTACAATTTCTTTGCTGCTGATAGTCAGAGAAATAGGATCTTTTAATTAGACAATGTTATGTAGTGTTCTCTACTACTTGAGAAATGATTTCAGACAGGTATGTAGGAGAATTAACAAAATATAAGCCTGAGAGACTCAGACCAAGATGTAGCGCTTTGCTGATCTATTAGCATCTATTAGATATATTTGTAGCAGATCACATTTATTTAGAAGAGAAAAGAGGAAAGAATCATTAATAAGGGATTGTTGGATTCTATTGGTGCTGGCAATCTTGGAGGAGGCATTGTCGGAAATAATCATTAATAATCATCAGCCTTCTATGCTGATGTTTTTCACACCTATCTACCTACCTGGTTTGTTAGTTTTCCTTAAGTGAATGAGGTGATGAAGTTCACAATCAAGTTCTGGCAGGCCATTCTCTTGAACAGTGGATTTTATTTCTGTTCCACTGTTTGGTTTATACAGCCATCCTTGGATTAGGATGTATAGTTCACTACAGATGAATTGTTGCGAGGAAATGGAGATCCATCTTTCACCCTCGTATCTGTTCCAGAGTCCATGCACTTGTAGGCTGGATGGTGCACCATCATCATCTTCATCTAAGCACTTTCCAGCTTTATAATTGGAAAACAGTTCTTTACATGTGGCAATCACTTGCCAACCTCTGATACTGTTGCAGGGGATGAGTTCTACTACCCCCTTCAGATTCAGGGCTACTTTTGGCAGCAAGTCTTTGTTTGGTTATATCCAGCTTGCATATATTTGCAAATGGATTAGATGTTGACTAGCTGGAGGGATGTGCAAGATGGTTAGGTGCCTGAGTACCTGAGCATATGAGTAGGTTCATGTTCAGTACAGTTGCCTCAAAGAGATTGCCTCTGAGCTGGAGTGGGGGAGGATGGTAGAGGAGAATGTTTAAGAGAGATTTCCAATGGCAGGTCTTTTGCAATGGAGGGACCAAAATTGGTTTGAAAGGGCTCACAGATGTGTTCAATCAACTCTCATACAGAGAATGGACCTTTCAGAAGCAGTCAAACAACTTCCAGACTTACTGTAGGAAAAGCATGCACATGTAAACACACAAGCATGCCCCATAGACACACAAAAACATGCACACTCTTCCTGAAATGCAGGAGAAAAACGAAGTTTATTTCCTTGGGTGGAGATTTGACATGGTCGAAAAGTTACTAGCGGGTATATGAATGTGAGAATAAGCCACCGCAGACACACATACATGCACATACACCCTTCCTGAAATTCAGGAGAAAAACGAAGTTTTACCTTGAGTGGAGATTTGGCTTGGCTGAAAAATTACTAGTGGGTATACTAATGTTTGAGTAAGTTACCTTCTATCTGTAGGGCATGCAATATATTAAGAAGCTACCATCTACCTGTGCCTGAAGGAGTGGATGCTTCAAACTAAACTTGATTAGCATCCAAAAATACTTTGTTCTAGTGTGGGGTCTGAAATGCACGAAATCGTTAACAGTGTAATTATCTTGGAATTTCTTATTTTACTTTTCTGTTGCATACTTGCATTGACCTATATCCATGGACTAAAATATCCAACTGATAATTTCACTTCACCTTGTTTTCCATGAATGTGCCCCTAAGATCCAATTTGGCTAGTGGATCAAATGCAAAGTATTACTCTATGTATGTATATACCTGACATGTCAAAATGTTCTATTGGAAAATAAATCATCCAACAAAACCCTCAAGTGCCATGCTTCTTGACATTAGGCATCTTGTCAAATTGGAGTCCCCATGGGCCTTGCATTAGGCCCTTAAAGAAGCCTGGGAAGCCTGAAGGTTATTCCTTTAATTGGTTCTGTTAGTATATTGTTATCTTTCCATGTACTCGCTATAAGGTCAGACGATGGGGACCTGACCATGTGAGAGGCACGGTGCAAGCCAACAGATCACAGGCACCCATTTAGTGGTTTGATGATGTAGCAGGTGTAACAGTAATTGACCAGTGAAAACTTCTCTTTTCTTTGCTGTTATTGTTAATTATCTGGGTATTTTGAGATTTATTTTTAGTGTAAATTGCTGAAAGCTCTGCTGAAGTTGTTGCTGAAACCTCCCCTAAACTGACATGGTTATAAATAGACTTATAGATCCCATTTTGTTAAAATCCATTTCAAAGAGGCATAAAAATGTCCAAAATACCCATGCTGTTGCTTTTCACCAAAATGTTTATCTTTTATATTTTCTCTTCATATGAATATTAGTCCTTTGCTTTTCATATCAATCGCTAAAGGTAAAACTACTACTCTAAATTTTCTTTTTTTTTATTGTTATTGTTTTTTTTTTTTGTATAAATCAGGTAATTGCATGGCTATTTTAGACATTTTTATGCCTCTTTTAAGAGAATTTTAACAAAAGAGGTCTACTTGCAACCATGTCACAAAGTTAAGGGGAGGATTTTAACAAAAGGTTTCAGCAACAACCAGAAATTTCAGGGGGAGGTTTTAGCAATTTACCCTTATTTTTAATTGTCCTTGTAGGTAGAATTGTTTTTGGGATTTCAGTTTAAGTTAGGGCTGCAGGGACCACACCACACCTATACCTTGGATTACCAAATTAAGCATTTTTTTTGGGGGAATGCTTCTACCCAATGTTCTACCCGTGTAAATTGTTCTACCCAATGTTCAAAATATCAATACCAGGTGAATCGATACAGTTTTTGGTGCTTTTTTTATTTTTATTTTTTTTTTCACAATTAGTTCAGGGGAGCCGGTTTAAGCCTCCACACCCTAAACCGGTCAGACCCCCGATACACCCACTGTAGGGGCATATCGGAGGGGTCCCGGAATGATACGTATCAGTCGATATGGGCCGATATGTGTCGATACTTTGAACCTTGGTCCTACCCATTCTCGAACCCACTTTTGTACCCTTGACCCCAAACTGTCCCAAACCCGTTTAACTTTTCCTCTCAAAATTTCAAATCCATCCCATCTCAAACCCATTAAACTCATCCCGACCCACTCACTCGATTTGAAAAGTTAATTAATGTTTTCTATTAAAAAAAGGTTTATTAACACTTAAAGCGTGATTTGAACCCATATCAATTAATGAGAGTGCAAAAACTCTTAACAATACTTTAAGCCACTAAGCTATCTTGCCTTTTATGTTATTTAATAAAATAAAATAATTTTTATTAACTTTTGTGTTCATCCAAATAAACATTATGATTAACAATTTCAAATAAAAATTAAAATAAATAATATTTAAATTTAACATTTTATAAATAAATAGAATAAATAATCTATTAAATCTAAATTTATATCAAAAGATGATTTTAATCCTAAGAATATATACAAATAAAATATTAATAATAGAATAATTATCTTAGTACTTAAAATTTCTAAATTTGTGTATGCTATATATATTTATAACTATTAGTTAATATTTTAATTTATATTAAATAACATTATATTTATCTTTACAAAAAAAAATGTTTACAAAATATTCAAGAATGTAATACTATATTGAGCATATCAAATCCACTAATTTGCATTTATATGAAAAATGATTAATAGTTTAAAAAAATTTATACAAGTTCAAATTTTAATAATCAAATAATTGTTTTAGTAATTAAAAATTATGAATTTGCATATGATATATATCTTAGAAAATTTAACATATTTGATATATTTTAAGTAAAAAGTATATATTTTTATAAATTATCAGAAACGCCAAGTATATATTTGATATAACACCCAAGGTTCAAATTATCAGAAACGCCAAGTCTATCGGAAAGACAATTTTAAGAGACGTATCGTGATATGCTTTGGATACATGTGTATCGGAGAAAAATTAAGATACACATAGATATGTTTGGAAACATTATAAATACTTTAATAAATCATAAAGATACATCAATAACACTAAATATAAGACCTTAATGAGGTGTATATATATTAAATTAATATATTTTAACTGTTTTATGAAGAAATATATTATAGGTAATTATAATTTTATTAAAAATCCTATGCTTAACTACAACTTATAAATTATAATTCTTATGTTTTAATGTTTTATGGGATGAAAAAAACTCAATTCTCCTATCCAACCATAAAACATGCATGGCACAACTTTTAAGTGAAAATATAATCAATAATTATTTATTATTTATTTTAAAAAATTATAAAAAATAAATAAACATTATATAATATATTCAAAAAATAGTTATTAAAGAAGAAATTTCAATTGCTTTGTGGATATGATAGATCATCCATAGAATTATAATACATTCAATCATTGTGATCAAATGATAAAATATAATTAATTAATTAATTAATTAATTTTTAATTCTAAAAATATAAAAATAAAAAAAAGTATTAAATAAGAAATTTCAACTGGTTTGTGGATATGAAAGATCATTCAAAGAATTATAATATATTCAATTGTTGTGATCAAGTGATAAAATATAAATAATTATTATTTTATTTATTTTTAATTCTAAAAATATAAAAAATAAAAAAAATAAAAAAATACTAAAGAAATTTTAATTTCTCTATGGATATGATAGATAAATCCATAGATCTAAAACATATTTAGTCTTTATAGGTGGGGAAAAATTACATTTTCAAATTTTTTATTAATTTATATTTTCCCAAAATATCTTTAAGAAATTTCCATAAATTTATTAATAACACAAAAAAATTATGATTTTGAATGTAAGAAATGTAGATCAACGTAAATTTAAACATTCAAGAAAAAAGAAATCACATGATATAAAAAAATGAACAAATTTACCTATTTTGCCGTAATTTTTCAAAATTTGAAAAATTTTCAAAAAA